GTTATTAGGGCATGATGAAGAGGTAGGAAGTGTGCAACTAACTCATCCTTGCTTTGGGTTGTTTACGTGGTCTCGCAGCGAAACCACCACATACCGTAGTCCTAGATAAGGCATGGGTGCAAAAGGACCCACTTCCACTCTCTACAATTTGAATATTTAGCTTACCTATGATGAGAAGACCGCTTTCATGTCATCGCTAGCTGGTTATCAAATACTCAGGGAGTCAACCATGGTTAGGATACAAGGGTTCAAGGTTTGTTCTTTGCTTGGGTTAGTCTATGATACCCACTGCTAAAGCTGTCCATTAGATGATGCACGAAACCACGCTCGATGCTTATCGACGTCCAGCTGCCTTGAAAATTGTCATTGGCGACGTCCGCTTGTCGCTAGCGACAGTGCGCGACAACGCAGGGCGAGCGACTATGAACACATGGCAGACTGTGAATGGCGAGTTCAAAGAAACGAGGACTTTTGACGTGCAGGGAAGGCTAGCTACTTGTGAAATGAACGCAAAAGAGAGGTGAGACAAAATTTTTCCCGGAAATTTGGAAGATGACGTCTTCACTATTTACAGGTGGACTTTCTCATATAACGATGACAGCAGACCATTGTTAGTGAATGATATGACATTTGACTGGAATTCTGGCGGTGTGCCAAAAAAGATAGGAAGGCTAGAGTATGCTGTTGATGGTAATGGATGGACTGGCAAAAGAGGTTAGTTTTGTCTTTGCGTTGCATTGGTCTTGAAGGGAAAACCATATCTAACATTATCGTGTGTTAAGGAGATATATCGTTTGAAATGGATGGATACGGTAGATTGATTGGAGCTCGAGGACCATCGATTGATATGAAATTTGATTATGATTTTCAAAATCGGCTAATTACATATAGGAATGGAGCGGTAAGGATAGAGAAAATTATTTGGAAACCTGCCGATCCAACTAATTTCTTTTTGAAGATCTCCTACTCTCTCTACTATGCTCTGCCACACCTTCCCGGACGAGTTTCCCATTTCCAATCATCGTCTGATTCATCTGCCACAGCCATATTGTATACTGAGGAAGGCGTACCATTTGCAATGAGCCGGGATGGTTATCGATATGCGCTAGCGGTAGATGATGAAGGAAGTTTGAGGTTTGTCGCATTGTGGACGAGTTTTCGTGGGGATAGTATATTGAATCGTGCTTTAGATATGTACTAAGCGAGTCCGGTGTTGATAAGGAAATTCATCGTGATCCATTTGGACGAGTTATCGCCGATACACAATCATCGCAGTGGATTCCGCTTGGTTTCCGTGGAGGTAAGAGAGACGAGGTTTTATTTACCTCCCAGTGTCGAGTCAAATCGAGTCTTTGGGTTTTCTATTTGAAAATGTTGTAGGGGGAGGGGGGAGGGCGAGGAGGGGAGAGGATAAGTAAGGCATTCCCCAAATGCAGCTACGTACTTCGATCGTTCATGGAATGTAAACAATAATCCCCCCAATATCGTACTCTTTTCGAGCTGGCCAATCAGCGTCTTTGAGTACGGTAGTGGGCGGAGTTCGTTGATGTCGTGCCACGACTAATTATGGTGTTATGCTCAAGCTAATCCTGTCTTCAATAGGTATCCACAAATTCTAGTCGTCCAGATTTGCCGGGAAATTTCCTTTCAACTTGAAATAATTTCACAAATAATTCAGGGTAATAATGAGATTTTTTAAAGTTGTCTAATTCAAATTTTTTAGGAATTGACATTCCCGAATTGTCAGTGACAATTCTGCCAAACTCCCGACCATACGATACCATGATCGGCCGGTACATGTCGTTTGGCCCTTCGCAAATCCAGAGGATCAGTTTCAAGGATATCATGCGATCTGTGGATCCATTTTCACTAGAGGA